AGAAATGCCTCTAAATATCTGCAGGGTGGGTGTCAGGAGGACGGGGCCAGACTCTTTTCAGTGGTGCCCAGCGACAGGACAAGGGGCAACGGGCACAAACTGAAGCAGAGGAAGTTCCAGCTGAACATGAGGAAGAACTTCTTCCCTCTGAGGGTGACGGAGCCCTGGCCCAGGCTGCCCAGGGAGGCTGTGGAGTCTCCTTCTCTGGACATATTCCAGACCCGCCTGGACAAGGTCCTGTGCAGCCTGCTCTGGGTGACCCTGCTTGGGCAGGGGGGTTGGACTAGATGACCCACAGAGGTCCCTTCCAGCCCCTACTATTCTGTGATTCTGTGACTTCCTTTTTTTCCTGTTTTAAAATATTACCTTTGAGGCACTTGCAGTCTCGATGGGTGTTTAGACACACTGGGACATTATAGTACAGCGTGTGCCTGCGAGGACATCACCTTCACCACCCACAAACCAGACTCTTTTGACTCTGATCTTCCATTTGACTCTGATCTTCCATATGCAATAATACAACACTACCTCTCTCTCATCTTCTCAGAGCTTCACTAGGGAACTTGAGCTCTTTCCCAGATGATCAAGTCTGCCTTCCTCCTCCCTCTGCATCAGTACTTGTCTTCCAGAAATTGGTGTTCCTCTTCCTACAGTGCGCTGCCTCACCAAGCCTGCAGGCAGAGTAGAGCAGATTCTAGCAGAAAATATGAATTAAAAAAATGTTACTTTTAAACAGAAGCAAAATACAGAAATGTTCATTTGGTGGTTTTGTTTGCATATTTTTTCTTTTAAAACAAAACTAGCTAATATATCTGTGTGTAACAGCTCTGGCTACCACACACAGAGGAGTATATTTTGAGCTAATGCTGAAAATTCAGAAGGCCCAGCTCTGAAACATGGCATGTGTACACGCGTCTGCATGTGTGAAGAGGGGCAGAGGCAGAGAGAGACAAAATGGCAGCCCTTCAGATGGTGTAACATTTGGAGAAGGAGACACAGGGCCAGTTTTCAAAAGATATTGTTGCAAATGTTTCTGTTGCAGGAAGAAAAAACCCATATATATATATATTCATACACACATTCTGCTAGGAAAATGTGGCTTCAGAAATTTAACTCTTCTCTGAAAAATTGTTACATCAAGATGCAAGTCTAAATTCGAACTGTAGATCCGTGTAAGCACCTACATCCGAGCTGGCCATCTTAGGCTCCCTTTATCCTCCGCACAGATCTCGTCTCGGCAGTGATTCATCTCCTCCTACAGCAGACATGTAAATAGGTCAGATGAATCACGGCCTAAGAGTGCCTGTTCCCCGTATTGACTGCAAAAGGAGCTTGAGGTGACGGGCCCCACCATATGTGTCTACACTGCCAATGTCTGCAGTGAGGTGAGATGAATCCTAGCCTAGGCATAGAAAAAGAAAAGGATTTTATTTTGGTTTTGAGGACTGGCTTTCAAGAGCTAAATTATCCTTTCCTTCTATGGAAGACACTGCTGAAAATCATTATCAGTGATACGACAGTTCAATACACCTTTTTCTCTCATAATACGTAGCTGCCACTGCCAATTATAAAAAATATATTTCTTAAGATAAGCGTCAGATTACAGTAAAGCACATACCAGCTCATGAGTTCAGACTTGGGAGACCACACGCATCTTTTTGTGCTCGTCTGTGAAGGTGTTTTGCTTCCTCAGACAGAAATATAACTGCACATGTAGTAACAGCAACAAAATAAGAAAACAATCATATAGTCTGTGACGAGCATACAGTCCAGGTTCCCACTCCCGTTTGTACTGACATCTGAATCCAAAGCTTTCAGTTGGTTTGGTACTACAGGCTGCCCTAGTTTCTCATAGAAAGAGCGAGAGAAACCAAGCTAGGGCGACGGGTTCATTCACAAGAGACAGCATCCACAGGCTCCAGCTAAGTTCACTGGTTTATGTTTTGCTGGAGTTGAGACCTTAAAGGATGAAGGAACATCTCTAAGAATAGGATTGGGCAACTTCTCTGCTG